TCTACACAATGGAATACTACTCTGCTATAAAAAAGAATGAAATACTGCCATTTGCAATGACATGGATGGACCCAGAGAGAATTATATTAAGTCAAACAAGTCAGGCGCAGAAAGAGAAATATCACATGTTCTCACTTATTTGTGGGAGCTAAAAATAAATAAATAAATAAACAAAAAAACTGGGGGGCGGGGGTGAGGGAAGAAGACATAACAATTACAATTTCTTGAAGTTGATACAAGAAGCAAACAGAAAGGACATTGTTGCAAAGGAGGGGGTAGAGAGAGGAGGGTGGGAGGTTTCGGTAATTGGCCACAATAATCAACCACATTGTATATTGACATAATAAAAAAAAATTTGGAAGAAAAAAAAATTTAAGAAAAAAAAGAAATTAAGCAGAGAAGATTTCCCCTTCCTGACCTCCTTCTCCAGAACTTAGCAGGTATCTGCACACATTAATACATGACATCCTGATGCAGCTCCTCTAATCCTGTTTTACAGAGAGCTGACATTGCACCCAGATGTGGGCCCTAAACAATCCCTGCAGCACTGACACCATGGGGCCCACAGCTGTTCTGGAAGTGATGCCCTTCGCAGGACCATGCCCATTGGAGCTCCTTCACAAGTTCATGATGCTGGGTCACAGTCAGATGGAATTTCAGCGGAGATGAGAGGGACTGAGGGAAGGCATGTGTGCATGCGAGCAAATATTTCAGGCAGGAAATTCAGAGTCAGAGAAGATGAGCAATTCTAATACCCACATTTCAGAAAGAAAGGACACAGAACAATCAACCAAAAATATCACTTTACCTGAGTAAGAGCCATTGCTGATTCCTCTTCTTTACTCTTTCTCCTCTTCCAGGCTTCTTCCTCAGGTAACATGAGTCTTTAGAAGTCAATCCTAAATGTTGAAAATATGTTGTTTAATGTTTAGATACAACACACCCCCCATCCTGTGCCACAACCACACACACAAGAAAGACCTCACAATGTGAAAAAACAGTCCTCTGCCGTCTACTACACCAGGAGGTATGCAACGACAAAAACTCCTGCTGGAAGGCCAAAAAGCGAGTTTTTGACCACTTTCTTCAGAACTCACACCCCTCCTGGTGAAGTCCCCCACACATACACTGCAGCAGTGGGGAGTTGGACTGGACTGAGCTCCCCTTCAAGCCCTGACACAACCCATAGACAGTAAAGCCCCCCTCACCCTTCTGTGGATCACAAGATGACTTCTGCCCTCAGAAGAGCCTTGGTGTTATGCTAGATGGAGATTAGATTCACCAGGGCAATGTAAATATTTTGAGGCTAGGCCTCGACCTGTGTGAATGAAAATCTCTGGTAAGGGAACACAAGAGATGTATTTGCAAAATGTCTCAGCACTCAGAAGCCAGGGTTGAGCACCACTCACTGGGGCAAACCCAGCACACTTGCCGTCTTTTGTCTCTGCTCTCTCTTTGGGTCCCTGCTATCACCAGTATCCAGACAGCGGAAGGCAAAGGAGCAGAACAAAACATGCAGAGCAATATGGGCAGAGGTTGGAGTGAGGCTGGAATTTGTAATTTGGGTAGGAGTGCCCCTCAGAAATATCCACTGAGAAGGTGATATCAGAACAAAGATACAGGGAAGGAAAGGTGTTTGCCACCTGCAGCTGAGTTCTAGGCAGAGAGTTCTAGGCAGAGAGACAGCCCCAGGGTAGGCCCTGAGGCAGGAGCAACCTTGACTTTAGGAAAAGGACAGAGACCCTGCATGGCTGGAGCAGAGTGAGCCAGGACACAAAGAGATGAGTGAGATCAGAGGAACTGCGGGAAGCACATCACGTAGGGCTGAAGCCTTGAAACCTTTCTCTCCCACTCCTGAAAAGAATTTTGGAAGTGATGTATAACCTCACCACTTTTAAGTAGACGTATTAACTTTTTCTCTGTCTTATACATTAAAACACAAAAAATGCAATATATTCTATCTTTTAAATATATGCAGAGATGTGTGGCTCAGCCTGAGAAGCAGAGGGTCCCCCTTACCTGAAATGTAGAGGACTGCAGTGGGGGACATGTTTGGGAGAGCTCAAGAAGTCACTTTTGGACATATGAAGGTGGAGATGCCTATTAGATCTCCCAGCAGACAGGTAAGGACACAACTGGATATGGGATTCTAGAGGTCAGGGGAGAGGTCTCCAGGCAAAATGGAGACATATGGGTGCTGTTTGAAACCATGAGATAAAATGACAAGGAAAGGCAGTGAGTGTGGACAGAAATGGGAAGAGGTTCAAGGACAAAGCCATGGGACACTCCCACACCCTGGGGACACAGAGTTCAGGAGACACCACACCACATGAGGAAACAAATAAGAGATCAAGGTGGCCACAAGAAAATTAAATCAAATGCAATTTGAAATGAGATGTCCTAAAAGCCAAGAAAAAAACTGTTTAAAGAAGTTGGAGTCATGAACTGTGCAACATGCTGCTGACAAGAAAAGAAAGATGATAAGAGGAAATAAAATATTGAATTTAGAAATGGGGAAGTCACTGGTGACCCTGAAAAAGACTCAGTGAAATGCTAAATGTGAAAACTTGATTGGATGGCTTCAGGGGAGAACTGGAGGCCAGAACTGAAGACAGAGTATCAACAAGATTTTAGTGAACTGTGCTGTCAAAGGGAGCATTGACAAGGGGTACTTACTACAGGAATATATGTAGTTCATAGAAAATTTTTTGTTTTAAAGATGGAAGATTGATAGGAAAATAAAGGGTTTAGTGTAGAGTGTGTGTGTCTGTGTGTTTTAAGGGACAATACTACCATCAGGATACACTGACAAAAATAATTCCCTTGACGTATAAATTGATGATATAGTGGACGAAGGATGTCACACAATAGTGTGACTGTGAGTGGGGCTGGCCGGTGGTGCGCAATCACATGGGGACAGAAACAGAGTAGGCAGAACTAGATGAAGTGATGACGCCAGGGAGAAGGAAGAAAGTGGGGTCCCCTGGAGGAAGGATTACATCAGTCCTTTGCGTTGGGGCATTTGACTTCTATGACTATTAGTAACTAAAAGGTTTTGTCTCTCTCAATTGCAAATAACCTAAATAAGGCAGCAGAGTGTATTCTGCTAGCATAACATTTCAATCACTACTGAAGACAATAAATGCCTGGCATATTGTACAGGCTTCACACGTACTGAATACCAAAATGAATGAGTATGACACAGAGTAATACTAGTACACTCTCTGGCATGGCCTTCACTTTGGGGACCTGATGTGTACAAGGGTCTTGCTTGCCCCTGAAATGGTCTCCATTGGGAGTGAGAGAAACCTGATCAGGAGAACCTGAGGTGCAGAGCCAAGGGTCCTTCACCCAGGCCAGTCTACTTGACCATCTAGTGAAAGCAGAAGTGTAAGTTCAACCTAAATCACAGGGAGGTGACCTACAGGGTAGTTGCCTGTGTGGCAGAACAGACCCATTTTGCCAATACAAGACCAAAAACGTGGCCAAAAGAGAAGACGCCTCCCGGCTGCTCAGATCCCTCAATGGAAAAAAGTTCCTGGGGTCTAAGATTTCTCACTTTGCAATGACACCAGCCGAAATATTCATTCACAGCCCCAAATCCTTGGGACTTGGTTGGGTCTCAGGATTGTGCACACTGGCTGCAGGAACTGAGTGTCTGAACAGAACACTGGATAGGAAGGTAGAAGACTTGAGGGAGGGGATAAAAGAGGGCCACAAACAGACATACCACTCCTCTTCCTCAAGTCACCCATCTGAAGAAGCACCAACCCTGCCATTCTAGAGAAGACAATGGGGAAAGGGAGAAGCATATACACAGTGTGTGTATGTGATGGGTGGAAAGACAGACTCCTTTCTCTAAATGTGACCCCATTAGCTCACCCCCATTCCACTTTACCTACTACCGAGCACAGAGTCACCCAGTGAGGATGCACAGAGCTTTTCCTTTCTCCAGTTCCGGAGTTTCCCTGCCATTACTAGGGCTGTGATCCCCCAAATAGTGTTCCCCATCCCCTCCTCTAACTCCCCTCCCAGGACATAGTGGTTGCTCCTCATTGGAGAAATATCTATGTTCTGCATTTAGTTTAAAGCCTCTTGCCCCTCCACTCCCAGCGTGTTGTGAGCGTGTGTGCGGGCGCCCTGCCACTCACTCTTTCCCTGTCACGGCCCCTTGTCCACACTCTCTGGCACGTCCAGATCCTAAAGCTTCCTCCCTGCTGTGCCCCTCCCTCTGTTCCCCTTGTCACCAGCTGCCCTCTCTAGTCCCATCATTCATCCTCTCCTCCCACTCTCTGCCTGAAGGTCCCTTTGCGGCCCCTCTCCCTATTTTGCTGTCCTTCATCTCTCTAGAGATTCAACTTTTCTCTGAATTTCTCTGGTTGCTTTTCTCCCCCCGCTACTTTCCGCGCTTTTTTCATTCTTACTGTCTCTGCGAATCCCTCACCCCTCCCCTACTTTGCCATCTGTTTATGGGCCTCCCACATTCTTTTTGTCTCTTTCTCCGTTTTTCTCTTTCCTCTCAGTTGCTCTGTCTCCCTTTCTCCTGAGCCCCTTAATCCACACATTTAAAGAGAGCACATTTTTTCCAGCGGGGTGGAATTTGGGATGGAACAACACTGGATGTTACTGGCCAGGCCCGAGTCACCACCCACAAGGCGGGGTCAGGAAAAGGAGTGACTGCGAAGAGAAGGCCTGGGGAGCCGAAGGGCCGGATCCGAGGAAGACAAGGACGGGGGTGGGGGTGGGGGGACGGATTAGGAGAGGGGTGGGGTCGGCAGCATCCCAGGACCGGGGAGAGGACGCGGCCTCTCCTGGACTGGGGCTGCCTGCGCTGCCCTCCAGGGGCCGGGTTGGCCGGAAGGGCGTGAATCCACCTCGGGTTGGGGACTTCACATGGCGGGGGGCCAGGGAGGTCAGTAAAGGCTGGTAAGCAGGAAGCCCTGCGAAAGGTGTCTACGTGGCCCGAAGTAAGAAAGACCAAGGACAGGACCAGCCTCAGAGCGATTTTAACACAAGGGGAAACGACCCCTGGACTCTCACAGCGACGTCTAAATTTACCTGAGGTGGACAGGGCGGCGCAGCGATTTCAAGGTCTATAGCGACTCCTAGGCCCTTGGTATGGAAGATAAAGGGAAACTCACGCGCCGCGGGGTGATCGTCTCTCCACGCAATTCGCTTCCGCGTATTCAGGAAACTGCGCGTCTGGGGAGAGTCCAGGCCTGGTCAGGGCCCGCAAAGGGCGGGCGGGCGGCAGCGGGGCGTGGCCAGATGAGGGCGAGGCGTGGCCAGCAGAGGGCGTGGCGTGGGGAGAGGCCGGGCCTGGGGAGGAACCGCGAGAGGGAGGGCCGCAGAGGGGCGTGGCCAGCAGAGGGCGTGGCGTGGGGAGAGGCCGGGCCTGGGGAGGAACCGCGAGAGGGAGGGCCGCAGAGGGGCGTGGCCAGC